CTGGGTTCTTCTTGACTGATGACTAAAAATCTAATGTTTGGGGGCAGCAGTAGTTGTAGTAGATGTATAGATGTATGTATAGTGAGGCCATGTGACTGACCCACGATGATGTGCAGTGCAGAGGTCACTGGGTCGTTGGTGCCCACAGTGGCAAAGCAGATACAATCTGTTGAACCTGGAAGACATAGCAAGAAATAGATTGTGCATTAGAAGAAACAATGTCAACCTTTTCATGTCTAGTTCTCACTGACGCCCACTTTATGTTCGACAGTGTAGAAAGTTGCACTGAGGTGAAGAGCAAGACTGAAGCAATAAGTAACTTTCTGATTATTTACATCATTGCCTGTTTGAATACAAAGTTTTAGAATTTCGTGTTGTACAACACTGCTGCACAAACACAAATACACACCTGCACCAATCACAGCAGCCATTAATTAGGTGAGGTGCTTCTCCTCCATTGCTGCAGAGAAAATGTATGTCTCCCTGATGACTGTGTACGTGTGTGTGTGTGTGTATTTATAGTACTTAAACAGAAACAGAAAAACAAAAAGGACACAAACAAGAACAAACTGAGAAACGAGGCCACAGTCAGTACCTGCATTTACACCCTGTAACAGAGAACCCTGCTTTACGATTGGCTGTCAGCTGTGGCCGATAAAATCACAACATTGTTCCCCTCAAACAGTAATTACCCTCTGGAATCCATCTATTCATTAGTGACTACACTGAGCATGTTTTATTAATAGTAACACAACTTTATTTATATGTCATGTAGAGACAACCAGTTGAAAGTGCCGGTGTGGGGCTGTAGTATCTCATTTACAGATCTACCTTTAATGAAACTGACACAAAAGTGAGTTGGAATAGAATCATTTCACATATACATAAATTGTAGTTTTTCTGGTGTATTTGAGTGTATAAATAGTGAACGTATGTTGTTCACAACCTTTAACTGTTCTATAATAATAGTTTGAGTGATTATTAATAAAGATTTGTAAATTTTTATAGGCGCCTGTGTCATTTATCATGTATTTTGAGTTTAAGGAAGTTTTACACTAAACTTAAACTCACAAAATGATCACACTTACAGCCGAGTTTGTGCTTAAAATTAGTGAACCATGTACGTGGGTAAAAGGTGTTGAACAAAGCCAAAAACTAATGCATAGAAAAATGAACCTGGACCCCAGAGCGTTAAACTAGAGCGTAGCCATAGCAACAGGACTGATGCTACATTACTTCTCTGAAGGATCCTTGGAGCCTCCTCAAGGACCACTACAATCTCCTCAGGGTCCTCATTAACCTCTACAGAGGACCGGAGGCAACACTGCCAACATTTTAATCAACCAAATCATCCAAAAATCCAACAGTAAAAGTAAAAGTAGTTTTCAGCAGGAGTCGCAGCAGTGTTTCCCACCTGCAGGTATGATTCCAATGCGAAGTGAGCTGGGAAGGAGAGTTTGATCCGGACAGTTTGGATCTACGCTGCCATCGATCTGTGTCCTCCAGATCAGCCCATGGATGATCTCACTGAACATGCCGTCCCCTCCGACACACACCACCCTGAGCCGGGGTGAAAGTCAAATGTTAACAGAAACTTAAAAGTCTGTTACAGGATACAGTGACTTATTTATTTATTTTACAAAAAGAAAATCTGTGATGTAATTACAGTAACGCTGCTCACCCATCAAACTTCTTCAGCTCCGCCTCCGTTCTCAGGTGATCCCTAGCATAATTGGCGTACTCCGTCACTATGACGACAAACACAAAGACACAGCGTCCTTTAGATGTATAATCCCTGATACAGGAAGCCCAAGAACAGGAAGTGAGTGATGCAGGACGTACCGATGACATGCGTGGAGACGCCTGCCTGGGCAAACAGCGGTGCGACCTTCTGCTCGTAGATGTGTTTGCCCTGACGCTTCCCGCCGTACGGATTGATGTAGACCAGCAGGTGTTTGGGTCTGCTGGCTGTAGAAAACAACAACATTACTGACAGTTTCTGGCAACAGTCACATGTGTGTTGGTCAGTGTGTGTTGGTGTGGATTCGTACTGATAGAGGCGAGCTGCTCTCTGATGCTGCTGACCCAGCGCTGATACAGCGCCTCCTCTGGACACGTGAATGTGACCTCAGCACACCGCCAGCGGTGCTGCCGACACCTCTCCACATACAACACTGAAACACAAAAAACTGATCATTAAATAACTGACAAATGAATGATAAATTATAAATTGTTTTTATTAGCTGCTTTACATTAAAACCATTTCACCTGTGAGCCAATGGAATGCTTTTATTGTGAAGGAACTACAGAGACAGATTTAGTCACCAGAGTTATTTCTCATGCTGCCTCATTCAGTTACTTATTATCAATCCACAGAGTGAACGCACAGCTGTGTTTACAGCTCAGTGTCGGAGTGTTTACTTTGCTTTCAGATATGTTTCCAAATGTTTTCCATAAGTGTGTTTCCACGTGTGTGTACAGATGTGTTTCTAGATGTTTTTACTGTTTCCAGGTGTGTTTACCTGTGAAGGCCTGCCTGCAGTCCTTCCCTTCTCTCTCTTTGATCTTTTTCCAGCTGCCATCGTCTCTTCGTCTGCTGCTGTTCTCCTCCTCCTCTTCCTCTCTCACAGAGATGATCTCTGACACTGACACACTGTGACATACACCTAATACACACGAACACACACACACACAGTTTGTTAGATGTACATTAGATATTTCAGAGCAGCACATGAACGCACCATCAGACATCTGGTTGAGGTTGTGACTCAAATAAAACCACATATTCACTGTGATGCAGTTAATATGATATTTAAAGAAATTGAGTTTCCTGGAAAATAAGAAATCCATCTAGAACTAAACGAGAACAACAAGAAAAAAAATCGACTAAATTGACTAAACTGTCACAAAGAACTGAAGTGAAACCAGAACTTCCAGGCTCTCACACACAGATGCAAGGCGTCTTGCTCAAGGACACTTGACATGAGCCAGAGATAAACCCACATCCTCATTTTACCCTGATCCCTAAATATCATAAAACTGCATGTGTATCACTTGCTTTAATGCTTCTTCTTTCTCTCTTCAAACAGCTGATATTATCATTATTTATAGATTTAACAATAAAATATTAAAGAACATTTAAACCAGGACAGTCAGGGAAAAATAGATGATATAAAGGAGGAGGAGGAGATCAGTAGATTTACATTATTCATCGCTTTAAACCAAAGTTCATCAGCTGCAGATTCATCAGCTCTCAGTGGTCAATACAAACCGTCCACTGCATGACATTCAAAGTCGCTTGAAACCTGAACAGATATGAGCCATGGAAGGGGTCACAGGACCACATAACAACAATGGGCCACCTGGCTTTTGAAGCTGCTGTCTGGGCTCTACTTATAAGGAAGGACGATATTCTGACTGGACATTTATTTTAACTTTTACTGTTTTATCCTGTGATTCAATTTTATACAAAACTGTTTGTTAGTTTGTTTTGTGTTTTCTGTATGTCCATGTTTGACGTTGGACTCAATCTGTGTGTTTTTGTCTTGGAAAATTATTCATTAAATTGAAAAAAAAAATAAAGCAACCGGATACTTGATACCAAACCAACTACAACTTGTAGCTTTCTGACTGCCTGCTTGAGAAAGCAGAAAGAGAATCATTTGTGTGCTGGAACTATGCTATGCTAGGCTAACTCCATCCTGACTCCAGCTATGGGATAAACACTGAGATTGCTCTTCATTTGAACATCTAACTCTCACAAGAAAAAGAAAAGATATGTCTTGAACCATTCCTCTTTAAAGAACATGTGATTAAACAGGGTGTTTCTGGAAGCAGCAGCAGTCATTTACAAACTGAACAAATTGCAGCAGCTCAGATCAGAGTTACTGAAACTATTCAGCCAAACTACACATCAAACACTGAACCAGGAGCAGCGAGGAGGACAGCATGTTTCTGCTTGATGTTGATGGAAAACTGCACTAAAACTGACACTATCTACTACTGAAAACACAAGTTTTATTCCAAAATGTGATCTTTTTTTCCTGAACCTTTAGTGATATCAAGGATGATTAATGAAATAAAAATGAATGGTAGTAATTTGACAGTAGTCTGGTGGACTAGTAGTCCACTTTCATTTTGAAGGTTTTAAGAATCCTGATGAAAATCAAGATTGGAAGAAATGTATTTTATTTTAAAAATGAATTTGCATCATTTTGGAACAAAACTACAGGTTCAGTTTGGGAACACACAGAGTTTATAGCTCAGCCATCAAACACAGAAACATGTTCTAACAGCAGCACCACAATCACGAAACCTGCAGTCAGCAGGTGGAGGTGGCCCACTGCATTGTGGGAGCAAAAACTCCTACCTGAGTCTGGTCGACGAGGGAACGAAGGAACACAAAACCCTGCAGGAGAACCACACAGTTACCAAACGCTCCCCAGAGCAGGGTTCATCCAGGAGAGTGTTAGAACAGGTGGGAAACCCTTTAACCATCCCCAACATCCGCTCTGGGTTTTCCTACAGAGAGTCAACTGTGGTGGATTACTACGGTATAAAGTCCCAACACTATCAAGAGGCAGTGATACGTTATCAGACGAGTACAAATAATACAGTTAGTAAAAAGAAAAAAACCTTCAATGAGTTTATAAAATAAGTGTTATTTTCCTATCTCCATGCTACCTTGCAGATGTTTAGCAGCTTTTCACTAACGCCCCACTGGGCTGTGAGCTGCTCTTTCCAAAGTGGCCCCACTGGATATTAAGGTATCACATTACACAGACTGGCTTTTTTCCCCCACAGACAACAATTATAAAAAGGAGCTGCTGTAAAAGGGTGAATCGTCCGGCATGATTTTGTATGGAAAGTAGTAGGAAAGTCTAGAAGAAGAAGTAGAAAAAAAAGAAGAAGAAGAAGAAGAAGAACTACTGTGTCGGGAGCCAACAGGAATCAGAGGACGCACGAGCTCTCACTGGGCTGGGCAGCAGTGAGTATGCTCTGTGGGCCTAAAACAACATGGCAGACAGAAAGTTAGACATTAAAGATTCACACCTGAAACCCAACCACCACACAGACACACACTGCTGTCTGACTCAGGTTTACGCACCCAGCTGGCATTTCTGTCACCATGACAACAGAAACACAAAGCTGCGTGATAAACAGCTGGATTGTGATCAGCTGAAACACTGAATCAGAAGAGACAGAAAGGAGCTTCAACCTGCCAACACAGACAGCGTGAGGTGACTGACAGCTTTGGATAAAAAAGAAACTCTGGTTAATTAAAGATAAACAACTGTGTGAGAGAACATGAATAAAAACTAAAAGAAACAAGCTTGTGAACTCGGGTTTCAGTTCCTCTTTAGTTCCCTAAAGAACGAAGGACAGTGAAAGAAGAGATCTATGGCTTTAGGCCGCCAGCACCTGTGGGACCCGGACGGTCGATATGTGCACGTCTTTGGCAGTGTGCAGTAGGGTTGCTTTAGGGTATGTATGGCTAAACAAAACTAGGTTAAAGGGACATAAAATATATTTTTGTGAATATAAATTGGTTTTGTGAAAGGTTGAATGATTCATTTTCTTGGTTTACTTTTATTTACTTTAGTGTGAACCATTTTCCATGATAATATCCTTTTCCCTCTTTTTGTGGGGACATAGTTCTGTGATTTCTATTATAAACATATCCTGGTATATTTCTGGTACACACATAATTAGACATAGACATAAACATTAGACTTAGAAATCGAAACCTATAAAAAAAAATTATATTACATTCATGATGCTGTGATGTTTTTTGGGAGTCTGTACCTAATCTCTTTTCTTAAATCTCAAATAACAAGATTTGCAGGCCTGTCCATCTCTGCTGCATTACAGTACTTCATTGTAATGCTCTTTTGTCCCACATTTTACCTTTCTCAAAAAATTGCAGCTTGTGCGATTTGCACATTGCAATATTTTGATAGTATTCCAATGAACTGTGCAGCCGTAGTTCGAATACGTATAACGTTAACCTGCAGAAACAAAACAGTCAGTCAGCCGGTCACACCTTGTAGCAGCCTCAGCCTGATCTGAAACCTTCCTTCTGCTTTGAATATTCAAATATTCTGATTCCTGAACACAGCTCACCTGTCTGACTGAGGAGACAACCAGATTAAAAGGGAGGGTCTCCTAAATTACTATTATTATGGAGCCATTCAATATCTTACAAAATGCTTTCAACACTCGTCTTTTATCTCCCGCTACAGATTAATGGACTGATCCATCTCGTGCTGAGCGATTTACCAGTGAAACCATTATACTGTTGTTGGTTGTTTTCATTCAGGCCCGATGGATTCTTGTGAATACCATTAGGAGCACAAGGAGGAGCCAGAGGAAGCCTGATTGTTTCACAGATTATCTATCTCATGTTCTACTGTCAGGATATAGTGAAAGTTAAAGAAAATATGATAAAAGGTTTTTTTTTTAAAAAGTGAATTACAGCAGCTTTAAGTTCGGTGTTTACTATGTTGCAGTTTGCCCAATATTGTTGTTGTTTTTACACTCTACTACTAATTATTGTTCATTTTAATTCCTTCATATCGTTTTGTGGGGCCAAGAGATCACAAAGACATTAGTATGTGTTTATGTACTCCTGACAGTAGAATAACCCACTATATACACACACACACACACACACACACACACACATATAAAGGCCCTGTCAAGCAAATAAAAAAATACAATGAAACCCCGGAACCACGTGATCCTATACACATTTGATGCTGAATCTTTGTTATGGAGGCTGGAGGTAACAGTATTCAGTAACAGTGATCCCAGGAGAGGTTGAACCTCCTAAAACCCCTGGCAGAACCAGAGTCACTGATACTCCCCTCATAGATTCACCACAAAGCTTAAGATCAATCAAAGAGGGACAGAGAGGGTGCAGACACATGCTGGTCCCAGGGATTCAAGAAGTCGTCACATCCTTTAAGTCAAAGTACCTTAATGTTAAAATACTCCTCTTTCTAAAATCAACAGCACAATCTCCTCTATTTCATGTGCCTGTGTTTAAAATAGAGCAGAAAATATATGAGGTTTGGTTTACATTGTTCCTGCCCCTGCCTGCTGCCTCACCGTGACCTCCACATATTGTGTGTCAGGCTTGTTGTTGAGTGTTATGTAACCGGATTTATCGTGCCTCACTTATTACTACAGCCTGGACTACAAGATGTTCTGTACATGGATGTGTTTCTTAGCTACAGGTCCAAACACTGAGTGTCCAACACGTCCTCTCTGTGTCCTTTATGTCCTTTGTTTATCACACAGGATGTCGCGGTGCGTTTAAGGCCGACAGACACACTGACACAGAGACAGACAGGGAGGTAAACAGACACAGACAGATATGTTACGCGGGTCTTACTGGGTCTAAATGGGTGGTACACCGGGCTGGAAATCCGTCTTTTCCAGGTGAGCAGGGACCGGCTCAGGCTCACGTCGTACGCGGTGTTTCTGACGCGGAGCTCGGACAGCAGCAGCAGCCTGCCCGGCCTCTCCATCTGCGTCTCTCCGTCCTGCTCCGTCCTTCAGCAGGCTGACAGTCCCGGGACGGTTACCTCCACCCGGGCATGTTCTCTCTGTGTGTCCTGAGAGGCTTCAAACCCCGAAAACGACTTTCCAGCAGCAGCGGTCTCCGTTAAAGCGTCCGAGTAGCGGATTCCAGCTCTGGATTTTTTTTTTCTGACAGATAGCGGTTTCTAACCGGAAGTTGGAGGAGTTGCGTTCAAGTGCTGTCAGAAATATCAGATGATTCTAAATTTCTTACTTGATCTATTTGGGGAGTGTACAGTTATTGAGAACGTTTGCTGTGATATTAATAGCTTTATTAACTTTTGATTTGTGATTTTTAAAAATATTTTATATTATTAATAAGTCAAGTACAAGTACAAACCTATAACATTGGTTGTCATTGCTTGAAATCATTTTTTTCATAATGGACCCCAACCTGTCTTGGAAACCTTACATAGCTTCTATAAACACAAAGGTGTCCAAAAGTATCAAACAAAGCAAAGAATCAATAAACGCATTTTTTTCTTTTCCAACATACTCCAAATATTTTATGTTCCTCCACTCTTTTCACCGTTTCTTAGTTTGTGTTTATGCGAAAAGCATCATAATTCCAACATTTTACACAGTACATGAAAGCATCAAATATTGCGTCTGTCGTCATCACGTCATCCCGTCCTCTGATCCTGTGCTGGACGAAGCACTAAGCTCCCTGCTGCTGGAAACCTCTCTCTACTTCTGCGGTTACTGTACTGATTCAAGATTTTTGCATACAAAACACTCACCGAGTTTATGAAATATGATTTTTATTATCATTTAAACTAGTCAGTATCAGTATATACAAGTGCAGTTTAGTCGATTGACAGAAATTTAATTGGCAGCTTTTTGGATATTTGTTATACAAGTTATTTTTCATAGTTCCATTTTAAAACATTTCAACAAACAAGGATTTGCTACTTTTCTTTTTAATTATTTTCATTTATTTTATTTATAGGTTTGTACTGTTGGTTGACCAAATCAAGCATTGTGAAAGTGTCACTTAAGGCACTGGTAGTTGTTGACAGCGTTTCTCACTATTTTCAGATTTAAAAAAAATCAATAATCAATTGATTCATTATTAAATTAATAATCAGATTAACCCAAATAAAATAAGCTCAACCTCAATTTATTACAATGGTAAAATCTTGCCTTTACACGAATGGATTAGTGATAATAATCTTATAAGAACATAGTATAACAGTCCCACTGGGCATTTTACTGCTCTGAGTACTTTTAATACTTTTAGTACATTTTCCTGATTAAACATACTTTTACGTTCACTTCAGTCACATTTGTGCCGTCTGCTGTTAGTAGTTAAAGTATCCGAGTACTACACCACTGATAATAACAATGGAAATTCTGAACATAAACAGGTCCAAGACAACTCAGGAAGCCTCTGTTATATACAGCTGAAACCTCCAGAGCAAGTGAGTAAGTGGACCTTGAGTGGAGATTGTTTGGTCACCTGTTCAGATCAGCTGTCTCTCTTCTCCACCGTTTCTGGATGTGTTTGTGTTTCCTGTCAGGAGGTGATAAATATTGACGGCAGCAGCTGTTCGGCTCTGTTTAAAGCTATAATCTGCAGATCACAAGTGTACATCTGGAGGACGTTTTGGGGGATTTGGAGACACTCAAACAAAACCATGAAGTGTAGACTGACTGTGAGAGGGAATTCTGACATCACTGAAGAGAAACTAATCTGTTCTGCTGTCACATAAATATTCCCTGTTTTTCACAACAATAGACTGAGAGGACAATGGATTTTAAGGTCCTTTTATTTGTTTGTAAAGCACAACATTGACCAGCACCAGCTGATATCTCTGATCTCCTCAGTCCCTGATGTGATGTGAGCATCAACTGACATTAACCCACTGACAATCTAGTTTACTCTGACAGGATGTTTCAATGATTGGAAAGATAGCTCCAGGTTTTCCAGCGCTTCACTTCAGTTTAATTTTAGGCAAGGGCAGCAGGGGGAGCTGCTGCTGCACACACTGATCTCAGCATCTGGAGTTTGTTTGTTTCAGATTTCATTAATTCTTCTTTGATATGATGGGTTTAATTTGAACCAACACAATTTCAAGCTGTTGTTAATCTCAGTGTTTTAACATTTTAACCTTCAGCCAGCTGAACTGAACAACTCAATGAAATCACATTGATTTTCAATATTTGATTTAACTGCAAATCAGTTGAAAACTTCTTTGTTGTGGCTGTTTTACTGCACTCCAAAGTCCACTTGTTCACTCGTGTTACATTTAATTAATGTGTGAACAAGAGGCAGAGAAAGCATTCAATGAAGGTTTATATTAGGCCATAGAATCACAGTTTCAGCATAAAACTGCGCTTGATATTTTCTTTTATTAAATCTGCTGTTGATGATCAGTGTGTTGTCAGCAGCAGATTATTAAAACTGGATTTTCTCTAAATGAGATTAATTTAACTTCAGACTCTCAGGAGACTCTGTCTGTGTCTCTGCATTAAAAGAAATATGATTTTCTGTCTTCAGTAAGACAAACAAAACTCTTGACCTTGAGCCTGTTTGGCTGTCTGTCATTGTCCAGATTAAAGTCAGTATCTGAGGGATGTTAAAGATGATCAGGTTTCTTTCAGCTCTGAAAAGAAACATGTGACGGTCTGTGAAGAAGAGTTAAGGGCTGATTTGATCCAGAAGATGAGGTGGAAGTGATGGTGACTGGCTTTTATTCTGGTGGGCTGTTTGAAGGCTAGAAGTCAGAGTGCAGGTCAGAAACTCAGAGCAGTGTGGACCTTCCAACAGGAGATATCTATTTATATATTTACTTCAAACATGCCGGTAGGGGACCTTTAAGAAATTACTGTTACAGTTTCCAACCTGAAAACTTTAAAACCCTTTTGTCCACAGTCATTCTCTAGAGTTATAGACTGATTAATTGGGCCGATTATCTGGCATTTTGAGATAATCGGCATTGGCGGATTCCTGCACTTACAATGCCGGTTAACAAAAAATGACACATTTGCATCCTGCTGCTAACGTATGCCAGTTTTGTTTTAGCAAGATTTATAGAAAATTCATGACAATGAAGACAGAGAGCACTATATACAACACAATTAGACATTTTAATCTTATTAAATGTTTTCTTTTTTTGAATTTGTGGAACTGTACATCTTAGCTGATGTTGCTTTGGGTTGAGCACCATAGAATGGTGCAGGAGACTTAAATAAAATCCATCCATCAATCAATCAATCAACCCACCAATCAGTCAATCCTTAGTCACCATGGTCTAAAAAAACATTTCTTTCAAGCTAAATGACATCTGATATAATCTGAAACTATACTGGCTAGCGTTATATATAAATATAATATCATAATAATGCAGCTGAATGACGTCAGTTTTAAATTACTGTACCCTGCTCTCCCTTAAATATTAGTAATGTTCTAAAATCTTGATTAATTAATAAAAATTCAATCCAAACAACACGTTACTGGCTAAGATAACTGGTATTAAGTTGTAATGTGCATGGAATAATGGAATTATACATCATTTTTGTTTGTTTTGATATCAGCATTATATATCGGCCATGGGTCGACACTGCTCTCTAGAGAAGTTTCAAACTTTATGCTGATCCATGTGGTGATGGTAAAGACATGAATTAGCGATGAAGATTCTTCCAAAAGAGTCTTCTTATAGATAATGTACCCACATTGGACACAAAAAACAAAAGTGTATGTTTGCCTGAGAGTAATAAAACATTTGCTGGTAAAGAGACATTTCTTTGAATAATCAGAAACATACATTTGCTTTTTGTTTTCTGAATTTGATTTCTGAGGTCATTTATAATTAATAATATAATCAATTAATAAAGAAAAGAAAATCAACAGAAAAGTTCAACAATAAGTTTTAATTGAAGAGTGTTGACCTTGTGACCTCTCAGTTTCAGGTCACACAGCCAGCAGTTGTCCTCTCCTCCCCCGAGAGATGGAGAGCAGAGATAGATGAGTGCGACAGGAAGCTTCTCTCCGGCCCGTGATGGATGCTTCTGCCTCCGACGCTCTGGTCGCGGCGAGGAAACAAGGCGGTTCAATGGTGAGGAGGAGGAGGGTGTAGGTCAGGGTTATATATAGAAAATAGATGATGAGCCCTTTGCCCCACCCTCTCTGTGATACATGATGGCAGTCTCTCCAGCTGCATCCACTCAGGTGATGTCATCTAAAATGGACGATGGGCAGAGTGGCAGCGCAGCTGTCCCAGCAGAGCACCAAGACTCCACCGACTGACCCAGTCCATAAACTCTGCTCACCAGCGGAGAAGAGCGGGATCAGAGACTAGACAGGTCAAGCCTTGGTTTTTAGTAATTTGCAGAACAATTTCAGTGTGAGAAGTTAGAGGCAGTTCAGAGGACTCCTGACTCACTAAGAGCTGCTCACAATCAGTAATGTGCTGCAGGTAATTTGCATTTTCAAACCATCATATATTTTGATGCTGCCAAGTTCATAATTAGTGAGCTCATGAACGAATTAAAACAATCCAATTACACCAGAGATGATGACTCTCCACTACTGGGACATTAGGAAAGGTTTGCAGCGCTGTTGAAGTTGGAATATCAACTATATAACTATAAAGTATCTGTCAGAGTTATTTATAAAACAAAAATGCACTCTTCAGACCCCTGTTTGGTTCACAGGATATTAAGTATACGATGACAAATAAAAATAAAAAAAGAATTTCATGGCCATTGCTGGTTAACTGGGTGCTATATGTAAAATTTTCTCTTATGGTATTTACATTGTATTTTAAGGTATTAATGAGTTTGAGTGATTTTAGGGTTTTAGTTATTTCAAATTCCTGGCCAAATTAAAGGATCTCTGTCTGCTATGATTTTAGAGAAATTATTCATTTTTGATTTATAGTGGTACAATTAACTTCAAAACAGAATCTGAATAAAGTGAACTCAACAGAACAAAGACAAAGTTTCTTTCTTAAACTCTGAGTTTTATCCAGAAGAATCTGTAATTAAAACAGATGAGCATGACGGCGGAACTACCTATTGATCCCACACAGATCTATAAACTAATTATCGTCTTAAACCACAGATTGGTTTTATGGAAAAGGATGCGAGCAATCCATGGATGTATGAAGAGAAATGGATGCAGCGCTCTGTTCATTCCACATTAAGCCAAAACAGCCACTTCTCGCTGCAAAGGAATTATCCGGATAAATGCATATGCACTACAGACCTCCAATTTAGCACTCTGTTAACTTGAATGATAAAATGATTGATTCGGGCGGCTCTTAGAGTTTTCAAATGTAATTGGACTCAATGGATCAAACTGATTATTTTGCAGGGTTGAGACATTAAGAAATGTATCCACAAATTTACAGCCACTTCTTTTCCAATGGAACATTAAGGAGGAAAGCCTTATTGTGCCATTGCTCTAATTACACGGTTTTGTCACTATGTCAAATTGGCTTCAAAACCTGGAGGTTTGAAGTAATCAAGGAGGCTTACATGCTAATAGCGCAGAAACAATGTAGCATGAATGACAATGACTTTTTCTCAGAGTACATACATACATACAGTCAGTATTCAGACCCCTTTAAATTTCTCCTAACACGAACGCATATTTGGAGGCCTCAACATGCTCAAAAACTCATGAAACTCGGCACACATGTCAGTTGTGGCGAAAAATTTTATATTCTATGTGTCGCTTTCGGTTTGGCCACTAGGTGGGCGCTACTATCATCAAAAGTGCGTTTAGGCTAATAACTTCTGCATAGTTTGTCGCACATTCAAAAACCTTATATCCACGCGTTCTGTGAATGGAGCTGAATCCCCCATATAGGCCAGCCCCACTTCCGCCTAGACTTTTTTTTCGCTAGAGCGTGAAATGTCCAAAAACCACTTTTTCGTGTTACTCTATAAACTTTGTCCGATTTCCACGAAATTTTTCACATAGCATCTGGGGACCGTCCTGCAAAAAATACATTTGAAGAGTTTTGATATTTAAAAAAATAAGCCTGTTATAAAATTATTACTTCCTGTACATTTTGGTCAAAACAGGAAGTGGAGCATTTCTCCATATTGGTATGTCCGATTGACACCAAACTTGAAACCATAGTT